TTTTCCATTTGTTTTGGTGATGCCTATCACGTTTCGACCCGCACGAAGGTATGTATTAGTTGCCATGCATGCGATTAAGAAATTGTGAAGTGTATCAGAGTGTTGCTGCATACCCTCGATGAGCTCGCATAGATGCTCATAATTGATGCCCGATCTGTTTATCTTTGCTCAATCTTCAGGTGAACCCTAGCAATGACAAACAAACAGGCAGGTCTCAACGTTTCTCTAACGCGCTCTGGTATTAGCCCCATTTTTTGTTCTGTCGTTTCTACGTTCTTCGATTGTTTCTTTTTTGTGTGTTGTGTTTTTCTTCTATCTCAGAGTTGTTCCCCCTCGATCTTTCCAAATTCAACCCCAATCAACTAATCAGTTTGAAGTGATCGCACCTTTTCCTTGATTTGCTCGCCGTTTTTTACTTTGTTCTATCTTATATTTGAAATTTAAAACGCAATAATTTATCCTTCGATCTGGTGTTTGGGCTTGTATGTATAGAACACGAGTATCTTTATTTATCATAGCCCCGTCCCACGGCGATCCTTCTATGCACACACAACGTCCTAGTTCACCTTCCTTTCATTTATGCACGCGACCGTTGCCGCCCGAGTTCGCATTGCCTAATGTGAAGACAAGTCATGGACTTGAATTCTGTAGGTCTTCTCTAAACGGCACAATTAAAAAGGTTGATTTCTTCGATCGTCTTTAGTTAAATTGCACTAGGAAAATGATGTCCCATCTGAAATAGCAAAGCTACTTCGATTTATTTATATTTATTTGTAACTTATATGAACAAGTCTCCTGTTCAGGGTTTTCATACTGTCAAGCTAGGTCTTAGTTTGACCGCCCTTGGTTTTTTTCCACCAACTCCTAGCCTTGAAATACATCGTGCGCGGCGACATGCGTAACGCATGTACTTGCTCCAATGGGCGACGGCGGTTATCGCAAATTCTGCACCTAACATAAACACTGTTTATAAGGTGTCTGCACATGGCTCAAGAGATTACTTGATTAGACGATCCCGTACAAATTCAGCAGCCAAAGGCCCCATAAAATAATGAAGAAATGTATATACTAGGTTTAATGAGTTAATTATTAAAAATGAGTAAATTTAAACTGTTGACAAATCCTGGAAAAGACTGCCTTGTTGACATAAAAAGCAGACTAGATGGGGAACTATGGAGGAGTTGTACGTCGTTGTGCGTGTTTGTACTTGGGGCGAATAGAGGAGATTGAAATTCATTTCGATGATGCGTTCACAGGAACTAGGTAGTATTTATTGCAAGCTTTGGCGTTTTGAAAGATAATGGGTTGGATTATGTGAGTTTTGGTTAAACCGCAACACATAAATAAATGTCAAAGACGTGAATGTGCTCAGACCAAGCAAAGAAATGATTGTGAACACCTAAGTATTTAACCGATGTTCCCCGTTACGGAATAACAGCTGGGACATTTGTATGATCACTTCAAAAACGAAGAAACACATGAGTTGAAATGAGTCATTTGAACAAGTGAATTGTGTGATTTGGGTTTGGTTAGGGGTTAAGGTCAAGTTGGGCAACCGAATTCGGTTTGAAGTGAACTAGTTCAAACAATGTGGTAGAGGGATGGGATAGTTCATGTCACACACTATGGCAGGGTGGCATAAAGCGTGATATCATTACTACCACGGCAACCACAGTAGCATCCCAAACGTTTTATATCTCTAAACCCCTGGTTTGTGAAGAACACAAGTCACTGGACCGGACCGAGCTGACTGCAATTGTGTCACCATTATTTGCCGGGTCAATGGGTAAAATGCAGATCAATAATCATTAGGCTTGTCAATACTGATAAAGTCGATTGTGAGACCGATCAGTCACATGATACCTGACGAGAGTGAGCTGTGGCATGATTTGAACTTTCATCAGTGGTTTTCAACGCATAATTCCAGTTTCAAGCGATGAATAATTATCGCTTCTTATAGTAGCAGTCCGTGAACTTCGAGGTTTCGTAATGATTCGAAACGCTTTGGTTGCGTCTGCATGAGTGTAACAAACGCGGCAATTACAATAGATAAGTTTCCTACGGCGAAAAACAATGTTTTTCTGAACATTTTTGCACATTCTGGTTGATAGACGACGTTCTATCCTTCCGATGTACCTCTGACCGCTGGTGCATGGAGAGGAATAGATACAGTCGAAGGTAACACTAACTTTTTCTCGATCCGGATCATTACGAGTGATACAACGAAATATCCCGTAGACTATCATTATTAGTCAAGAGGCAATGTGCGTTATTTCCAAGGTGTGTGTAAAACGACAGGATACCTTTGTTTCTACGTCATCTTTTTTTAAAGGTAGTTCTGTGTAGATGTCTTTCTTAGCTAATAAGGAGATGGGTCTGGGGTTTACCGGATTGTTGTACTTGTTAAGGAATGTAATAAGATAATCACTGTCTAGCGAAGCATAGATCAATCGATATGGTTCATCTGAAAGTACTTGCGGGCCATATATTCGGCGAACCCTGTGAAATAGAGTGCGCACCAAACCACGTTTGTATACCACGGGGATAAAACTCCTGAAGTGCAGGTGTCACGATGTACTGCTCACATTTGTGAGTAGGATGTATCGTTTGCGCAAAAGAATATGATTGGCGGTTTCTCACAACGATCAGAAATGAACAAGATCTCTCACGGCGAATTACTGTGTTCAGAGTCGTACCTACAGAAAATGCGCATCTACCGTTAATCGTTCCATTAATTATCCTGCCTGTTTATGGGAATTATGATGACCTATTACAAACGAGACATCTTGTAGTATTTACTCCAATTTATCGATATCCTTACCTTTATTCGCAATAAATAACTCACCTCGTCCCAGCTGTTTTGTGGATATGTAACACAGATACTGTCCTGTCCGCGTAGGCTTTCGATGCATATTTGAAGTTTCCCACCTGACAATCAAGAGATGCGAGTTTGGATGCCGATTCACATTCTGTTGTCTGCCTAATACTCGGATGCAATGGGTTCACCTTGTGAAGTAATGCCTTCATGTCTGTTTCGTTGTGCGCAATGACTGATGCATCTTCAATACACCGTCAATGTAATGGGGTCGAATTCAGTTCCTCTTACACTGTTTTCTTATATTGATCGGGAGTTATCAGCCAGAATTGTCTCCTAAAGGCTACTCATAGCTACACCATCAACCTGTTCATAGATTTTTCCATTGAAAAGAAAGCTGTACTTCAAATGACTCATTTCAACTCTTGTATTTCTTCGTTTTTGGCATGATCATATAAATGATCGTCTACAACTGAATGAGAGCACGTGAAGTTGATGGCCAATGTCAGTTTTGCCCTCATATATCTTGTGTTGACGAAATAAATTGGTTAAAGGAAAACGACGTCTGGCATAACTTTTCGTAATGCTGAAGTCTCTGTGCCGTACGGAAAAACCAACCGAACGGTTGCAGTATACATATATCCTCGACCTTTCACCGGCAGCCGGATGTGACGATGATACCAGAGATTTCTTAAGTCGTAAAATGCCAATGGGGCCTTCTGTGTGCGAGCCGACACTTCATCCGTGATGTGTCCACCAGGTACTATAAAGCTGCCCAAATAACAAAATTTGTTCAGTTTCTCCAATACTTTCCCATCTCACGGTGTTTGTCGATGGTCGCAGGCTTTCTACATGAGCCACCGATTGTATGACGTTCGCACTTTCTCTTTTGATTTTAATTCATTTATTGCTTGGTGATCTTAACTGGCAACAGTTGTTAGTGCGTTCAGTACTCTTCGAATAGACCCTCTTCTGCCCCTATCCTCAGGTTGTATGAGGTTATGCTTAGTCCCCTATCTGGTTTCACCACTACGGGATCCCTGGAGTTTGAATTGTGCACTCTGACCACTGTTGTCGTCAACATCCTGATCTAGCTGTGAAATGCTCTGTGACAAGCTAGCTGATAAAACGCACCATTTGTTCTCAATGATCTAGTCTTTTTCAGTCTTTTTATACAATAAGCGAGCCGGGTATCGGTGAATTTCTCGTCCAACTAGACCTGTTTGAAGTCACATTTGTGTGCTTTTCACCGTTGGTTTAGTGCATTAGGCGTTGTTCACGATCCATGATGAGAATACTGGTCGGGTTTTTGAATTGGCACTCAGACGTCAGTTTATTCCGGTATGATAGTTTTGGGCTCACGAGTTCGATCGATCGTAGATTAGTGAGCTTCCTGCAAATCCCACTAACATAAGTTCCATTTTTCATTATGCAATGGTTTTCGGAGTGGGGAGACTGTGTCCTACCGCGTCAAATAAGCCACATTGAACAAANNNCTGTTTTTTTGTCCACGCTACGTGCTGCTACAACTTCGATTGGCAAATCACCAGAAAAAAGGAAGACATCAGTTTCGACACGCTATGTGTAAAACATGTCGGCTTATACTCCTTCCAGCAGAAACTGTTTGTACCAATGTATCATCTGTTCAATACCGAAAAAGGAATTTGGTTACTCCTACTACTACTACTCTGAGGACACGTTCAGATTCATTTCTGATGAGAGGAATCCAGCGTTTCAAGTTTCGCTCGCTACATCTGTTTGCTCACGCCAACTCGTTTATGATTTGAATCAGTGTTTTCGTAGCAAGAAAAGTGAAACACGAAGGTGGGACGTTATGTGCAAGAGGCAAAACGTACCGCGTACATGAACAGCGCAATGCATTTTGTGCAAAGTTTACTCTGATGTCAATAATCCTGTTTTGCATGACATATTTTCGGGGGAATGGTTCGTTTGTCAAGGTTTATCGTTCTTATTTTAAATTGTTTATCACTTATTTATGAAACTTGACGATTCCCCTTTCGACATTCTATAGTGTTTGTTTTGTTAATTGTCATATATGATCATGCTTTTCCCTACATGATTTACAGTCACTCTCGTCGGCATCCTGGCCGTGATACTTGCGTTCACCTTTGCCCTATTCGGTTGCATGGCATTTCGATGTCTACGCACCGATTCTGTTCGAACGATGCGCCGACAGAGATTAAGAAAACAACAAAACCTGCAATCCACACGATCAGTTCCAAACCAGTCTCACGCACTGCACCGATTCTCACCCAAACCGATCCCAATGCACCCACTCGTTCGAGTCACGTCCACCAACCCCGACAATGCACAGCTCCTACCCCGTGGCACTGGTGTGCCGTTTGAGGATGAAGATGAGGTTGATCTATTGGTTGAGACGGTACCAGGCAGTACGCAACAAAACGATACGGCCTGGATCAATATGCTACACAGTCCGCGGTCGAAACATCGCTGATCGAAGCCAAATCCCAGACACGTTCATCCCGCCATCTACTTCAGTTCTAACCCGGCCTCGTCCTTTCACTCACCAACATTCGGCTGTGTGATTTGTGTGGATGAACTATCCTCCCATCTCTATTTCTCTAGACATTTTCTGTTCTATCCTGTGCTTTGATTTTCACTGTTTTGGAATGGCTCATTCGGATTTTTTTTCTTATCTCGTTTGACTACTTTCTGGAGTTGAGTTACAGCGACTAAGTTTAAAGCAGCTGTGATTATTTTGTAAAAACTATATTCGCCGCTGCTTATTCATCCAAACTACCCCCTCTAGATTTTCTTTAACTGTGTGTTCTAACCTCTGTCCGTGCCAGGAAGAAGAAAACGGTTCATTTTACCAGTTTATTTTGTTCATAACCAAAAGGCCTGGGACATACTTACGACTATCAACCCATGAAAACTGATACCGAAGCACTCAACGTGTTTCAAAGTAGTTTTGTAGACACAAAGCTATTCGCTCGCGGAAACATCGGTGCACCAGCATCTCTGGGACCACACGGTAATATTCTCGAAATGTCATAGTCGAATTCATAGTTTCACTAATGCAGACAGCCAGTAGGTAAAATAGACAGATCGTCAGCGTTATGTAGATTGAATGCAGTTCCGGTGCATACGCGCACTGTCTCCCTTCAATCTGTGCACGGGCGTTTGCATCTCTCCCCTAAGTACCACACAATTTTCAGTGAGATGNCCTGGGGATAGCCCGGTTGACAGCCGATCAATAATGGGAAGGGTGACTTATACAATAATGACACACTGGTTTCCTTAGAATCGGGCCCTATTTCAACACATCACCGCCGCGAGTGAGCTGTGACTGGTTTCGCTAGGATAGTTTTGCCTTTGCCGGGTGGTCGGTTTAGAATTGGACGCGAATGAACGAATACAACGGCAAGTGACCTCGATCGGTCAGGCGGGACATGCGGATCGCGATAAGATGTGAATTCATAAACCACCGGCGACCGTCGGTCGTACGTATGAACATCACTCCTCGGATAGGCTTTTCGGATCTACGCCCTAAATGAGTTAGTGCGCAAACTTCCACTGAGTTCCCGGTTGCCTGAATCTTAGCCACCTGTTTCTTTTTGTGTAAATTGTTAGCACTGAAAGATCTATTTAGCAAAAAGCTTCTTATTGACAGTGAAATACGAAGAAAAATAGCATTGTTTCCATTACTTAGCAAAACTTAACTCAAATCCAGTTACCTACGAGGTACTGAAAATTATTATTTTTTACTGTGATCCTCAAATTATCCGTTTATAAGGACATTGGTGATCCGCTGATACCTGTCAATCTTTTTTAGTTAGACAGCAAAATTCTTTAGCAACTGCTGTCGATTTGCGTGGAGGGAAACTCGGATTTATTTGATAAAATGAGATACGTTTTCAAAGCCTTCACTGCGAATACAGAACAGCTGCTTGTTTGCGGTGTGAGTAAAGAAATGCAAAGCAATAATCCTACTTTCCGTAATTCATGGAAGCCTCGTCTCAGGATAACAGACGACTCTTGATGCGAAACATTACGCGACCGAAGATTTCTGACGCTCACGAACTGAAGATACTTACTTTACGTTCCTATGTATATGTAAATCGAGTTACCCCAGGATCAAATTAAAGTGTTCACCTATCATTTCAAGTCATCTTACTGTAATAGCTGACGTAAAATTACGAAATAGGATTCACGAGCGAAATGCGGAATCAAACTGTGGGGTACTGCTCAGAAAATTTAGTGTGCGCACGTATAGGCGGTGGGATGAATTTTCACGACATTCAGAAATAAACGAGACACCTGGGGACGGACTAAACGGTGTATTGTTACAATGTAGGATACGAACAGCCTGTCATGCTGGTTGACCATTTACTAAGAGTCTTCCGTGAAACTGCGAACGAATGGACGTAAATTACATACCCTATTGAGTATAATACCCTTTATCCCAATCCACATTGTTTGTCCGATAAGCAATCGTCCTCCCATTGGCACTAGTCTGGGATTTCTCAATAGTTCCTTTGGATTTGCTCTCAACATTCCAATTTTCATTGTGTTCTTTTATTCAAATGGGCTTCCGAAAGACAGCAACCAAATCTCATGCATATATATATGCATGGTTATTGGTTGCTAAGACCGAAACCGATCTATGACGCCAAATTAAAATATCATTGTGGGAATTACTTACAAGGTCAATCTTCTCTTATCCCCATTGTATATTCACATAGTTGGATAGTTTTTCGGCAAAAACGATAAAAGATCAAGTAGAGTTCCGGGTAGGAGTTAACAGATATTGTCTTTTTAATTTGTGTAGGAATGTAAAATGTGCAAGCGTTTCATCAAGTTTCCGCATGAAAAAATCAACAGTCAATGTTCATGCGAGGAAAAATAGAAGTGTGTTCCAAACACTACACACTGTCTGTAAATGATTGAAGCCGGGGTTCCAGGCGATACTTTGGTAGGGTGAAAACCTGAGCCACGGCCGACAAAGATGCTTTGGGTTCTGCAGTATTTGACTCACCAAAATCAAGCCTACTCGAATTCACAAGAACGGACCAGAAACTAGTCTCAATGATCGTACTCCCTTCTAATGGATGAGGTAGTTCAATCTCTTGACCATCTTGGTGACAGTCCTTTGTGGACGCTCTAGCTTACGATCGCGCTGTAATCATAGGCTCCAAGCTTGGATGGCCTACTCCGTGTGCGGTCGAATGTACACTGAAAAACACTGATTCAACTGGATCAAAGACAGGTCTAAGTAAGCCAACATTCTTCACAACAGCGGACGAAGCCTTGGCGCAATTGATTGAGCAGCTCTAGTCCTCTTGAACAGTTACACCGAAGTCCTCACTTAAGGTTTGCGAAACTACTGATTTCTGAGGAAGAATGAGAATCTACTCTTCTGATGTAATCATACGTCGAAATTTCTCGTCATTCAAACGCAGGAAGAAGATCGCCGAAGTAGCAGTTATTGTTAGCAACCAATAAGATTAAACAGTATGGATATAAATATGCAGTGGATTGAACAAATGTTCACCAATCGTTTACCTGTGTTTTCTTCATCACACAACATCTGTTTAAACCGCGTAGCTCCCGGTTCGTCGATACTATTTGCCTGAGGATCGTTGTGCAAATAGCGTAAAGCGCAGCCCCTTGGCTGACGCTATCTCGGAGGTTTGGATCACCACACTCACGATCACATCAAATTTTCTCACCATTGTTTTCAAGCTGACCTGAGAGTCCGCTTGTGCGGTAGACTGCAAGAACGGAGGATCGTGAAGTCTGAAGGATGGCCATTTCAAATTAAGCTGTTGATAAAATCCATTAACAACTGGATGCACACCAGACGCAGAGTAAGATGTGTCACTTGCAGCTGCAATAACAACCCAGGCCTGCATTGGACTGCACCTTTTTCCATCAAGCTTTAGCCAAAACCCGAAGTCCTTTAGCTTCGATGCACAAACTTTAGTCATACCACTATAAACGAGTCAGATAAAAAAGTAGCGGAATATTTTGAAGTCAACGAATGCCTAAAAATGTGGTTTTGAACAAATGTTCGTTTTGCAAAGCTCGGTTAATAAATAAGATGTGGGTGCCACAAACCGCACCACATGTTGATTGGAGAAGCTTTAACCGATGTGCCCGTATCCTCAAACCATTTGACACATCTCGTATGGCTTCAGTGTTTCCGTATAACATGCGATACTCCTGTGAGTAAAAATCTCAAGTGTAACACAA